CTCTAAGTAAAAGGCTTTTATGGAAGAGAATCTGCATTAAGAGAAAATGAGTTGGGAACTTACCATGTTCCCAAAATCAAATCAATCAAAAACTTACAAACACTTACTCTATGTTGTGGACTGTGAACAGGTGAATGAAATAGATCATATAGATATGTAGTTCAGTTTACATAAAAATTTTAGAGTAGGGGTTTGTGGATCTTGGATTGCATCAGTTTTGAACCCCCTGATGAAGGAAGTTTCCATTACACCTCCTGGGTACTCATAATTTAATTTGAAGTAAAACCATCAGGAAAATCTGTGGGTGTGAAAGGTCTTTAAAACAAATAGTTTATTTATATAAACTAGCATATATTGAAGAGTGGCCACTGAGGTGAAATCTAAATGAACGCTTAGTAGGGGTAAAGGAGTTTAGTTCAAGAAAGGGATGAGGGAACCATCAGTATAAGGGTGTGGGCAAGATTACTTTTTATCTTTCATGCTAGTCCTGAATTCAGTTATTATGATCTTATGTCAAATTATACATGATTACCAATTTTCAGTTCAGAAAATGTGGTCACCATAAATCTGGGCCACATCAAACAGGGGGAAATAGATCCTTCCTCCTAAAGTCCTAAAAAACAACATTTACCCAATTAAAAATAGGTCAAAATATCCTCAGGGCCAGTTGAAGGGAACATGGCCAGGGCCCAAGTCATGAGAAAGAGGGGAATTGTGGTGGATTCATTCAATTGCTACTCTTTCAGAACTGGAGTGGGGGGAAAATTTTATTAGAAGGAACCATTTTGCTCCCGATCACTTCCCTACACCAAAAACTGCCCAAAAGATTAGGGGAAAAAAGTTTGAAACCCAGAATTCAACCTCTCACCCTAGTGCTGGGTCAGGTGTGTTATGGTAAAAAGGCTACAAATAGTTATGCAAGATTTTCGGATATCACCGCAATTTACTTTTCAGAGATCCAACCTTACCCATCCCCCTACTCAGCAATGTTTACTTTTTCTGGTAAAGAAACTGTCATCAGGGAATCGTCCCTGAGAATAATGAACATTGGTCTCTAATTTAAAAGGGCCGATTCTACAGTCCTAACTGGTTTTCAGTCTGAATTCCACAACTTCATGAGTATTTAAGTTTGGAGAAATTACTCAAATTTTCTAAACCACAGTTTCCCCCAGTTAAACGGGAGAATAAAAAGAGCTACCCACAGTTCTGCAATCGGCAAGATAAGTGATCAAAAAAAGCTGCTGCAATCGATGGATAAAAGCAGCCACCAGAATTTAAACTCCTGAAGGCAGGTGGAATGGACATTTGGCAAAGTCCAACGCCCTCCTTTTACCTACAGGAAAAGTGAAGCTCAGATATTGGTTCCCCATTATGTTCACACAGGAGGCTAGGAGAGAATCCCAATTCACCTGTAGGCACCAAAGCTGGAGAAAGGGGCGGGACGGGTACGTCCCCAATTCAGTCAGAAGAACAATTCCCACCTCCGAGGGCGTGACCTCGGATCTTCCAACGTACCTCGGCCCAACAAGGAGGCGCGGCTGTGGACCTCAGTTTCCCGCTCTGTAAGATGGGGTCTTGAGCGCCCAGTTGTAGCGGCCGAGAGGTTAGAGAGGTTCCCTCATCCTCCAGCCCCAAGCTGCCCCTTCAGATAGCTGGTCCCTCATTGTCCTCAAGTTCCCAATCCCTACCTGCCTCGCTTACCTGCCCTCGGACGCGGCATGCGAGGCCAGGGGCTGCATCTGCCGCCGGACCGCCCACAGGAGCCTGGCGGCCATGTTCCCACCTCGGCATACGGAGGCAGCGCATGCGCACTTGCTCCAAATGACGAGCTACGCTCGATTCAAAAACCACGCTTCCCAGCAGCCTTCGCGGGCGTTTTTCTCTTATGGCCCCGGATGGGAACGCCACTTGTCGGGTTGCTCCTGGGCAGTTCCCTACCCGGTCTATAAGCAACGCAACTCTTCCGGCCACCGGCATGTTCCTCGGGTAGGTTGGTTTCCTGTGACAAGGGAATAGGCTCAGTGGTAGGCGCGGAATACGCGGCGACCACAGGGAGTAACAGTTGTACCCTCAAGGAGCTTACATGAAGTTTTACACAACAAACAAGTGCAAACACCATATAAAGTCAAAATATGACCATTATTTAAACGTGAGGGGCTTGGTGTTGCGGAACCCTAGAATACGATATGACCTAGTGTGGGGCGTTTTCACAGAGGAAATAACGTTTGAACTGAAAGCGGAATAACGAGTAAATGAAAAAAGAAGGCAAGTGCTTCAGGTAGAAGGAAACAGCATCTGCAAAGTCAAAAAGGAGAGCCTTGCAAGTAAGGGACTAACGTACTGGAGGAGGCGGAGGAGCAACACAAGACGGTGGTTAGAGCCAGGGCTTGTGAGGAATTAAAGTCAAAGCCTGAATCTCATCTCTCACCACTCATACTCCCGTTTTTTGCCAATTCACCCTTCCCCCTCGACTTACTGTGGTTCGAAATGTGTATTTTTTCATTTCTTCTCACTAATGTGTAGGCTCCTTTAGGGCAGAGATTTTTTTTTTTTTTTTTGGTCTGTTCATATTTAATCAACAGTGGAACAGTGCCCTAATGTAGCTGTTCAAAATCCTTTTGTCTAAAGAACTTCAACGTTACGGTGCCATTACGTGTTTAAGGGGTCACTGACTGTAGTGTGGAGGAGATTGGGTCTAAGGTGGGGAGACAAGCTGTTGGACGGGTCCATGCAGGGAAGGGGTGTGTTCTGTCCTGGGATTACCTCACCAGAGAGACGTTTGTAACCACCTTATCTAAAGTAACTAGTATTTTAGGTGTAGCCAGCAGTTTTTTGGTTTTTGTTTTGAGTGTAAGCTTCATGAGAGTGTCTGCCTTGTTCACAGCTGTGACTTTTGACCTCTAGTATAGTAGGGGCACACAGTAGATGCTCTGCTGCTGCTAAGTCACTTCAGTCGTGTCTGACTCTGCGACCCCACCAAGCTCCTCTGTCCTTGGGATTCTCCAGGCAAGACTACTGGAGTGGGTTGCCATTTCCTTCTCCAATGCATGCATGCATGCTAAGTTGCTTCAGTCATGTCTAACTGTGACCCTATGGACAGCAGCCTACCAGGCTTCTCTGTCCATGGCATTCTCCAGGCAAGAATACTGGAGTGGGTGGTTATTTCCTTCTCCGATAGATTCTCTAGTATTTGTTAAATGAATTAATGAAGTTGAATGGTGTCAGTGGAGATGGGAAGAAATGAGTGAATTTTAGAGAGATTCAGTATGGAAAATTGACAGGTTGTGAGAATAGACTGGTAATTGGGGTTGTGGACACTTGGAGTTGCCAGACTAGTTACTGGATAGTTCTTAAAGACAAAAAGTTTTTAAGGAAGGAGCAGTGTGCCTTTGTCATTCTGAATCTTCACCTTAGCGTGGCTCGTTTGTACTGTAGCTATTTGAGTCATAGTTTTTCTCTGCTTGTTTGTGAGTTCCATTAAGAGAAAGCTGGAGTCTTTTGCATCCTTATATTCTATCCAAGGCCTGGTTCAAGTGTGTTATAATCAGCTACCTTCTGTTTGCTTTTGGCCTTAGGAAAACATGGGTTAAGGAGTGATAATGATTCTTTTTTACATAGAAAACAGGCTCAGAGAGGTTGGTGAACCTGCTCAAGGACCCCCACTGAGGGTAAAGTGATACTAGAAGTCTGATAATCTAAATGCTTTGCAGTACTGGGGAGGATGGAGCTTCAAGTCCACCTTAGAACCATGGCCCTACACTTTGAAAAAAACAACCAAACCAGAAGTGGCATCCACGCTGTAGCCATTTTGTTAAAACATCTCATAGCTAAGTTACACCAGGTGTGCTGCATCCACTCATTAAGTGCTTGTGTGCTTCTGAATGCTGCAGTGCAAAAGGAGGGAGGACATGAGTCAAACAGGACCTTGGAACCAAGAGGAAGGGGATTCTAGGGTCAGACTCCATGTATTCAAATGCCGACTTCACCACTTCTTAAATGTGGACTTGAGTAAGTTACCTAACTTCTCTGGGCTTCCATTTCCTGAACTGTGAAAACTGGAATAACAGAACCTATCTCACAGGGTTTTAGTGAAGATTAAAGGGAAAATACCTAGAGAAGTAATTAGCACCAGGTTTGGCTACATAAAAGGCAAAAGTAAAGTGTGGAGCCCTTTGTTCAAGATTACTGAGAGGGTAACAAAGCAATAAACCAAGCACAGAGCCCTGCTAGGCATGGGGCCCTCCGTGACTGCCCGGGATGTATGTCTTGTAAGCCAGTCATGGCTAACAGTGCCTGATGCATGGTGAGCGCTCAGTAAATGTTAATTATTAATTTTGAAGGGTAACCCCTTCAAAGAGCCAAGATCTATTGGTGGGAAAAGGCACTCAAAATAACTCAAAATAACTATAGGAAAGGATGTGACGCACATCACATACACAGTTGAATTGCTGGGTGCTATTCCAGGATCTACATTTTAAGGAAGAACGATGTTGGCAGTGCAGTTTATGTCAGCTCCATGGTCACTGAAGACACTCAGGTGGAATTTGGATGAAAGATGTCAATTATGGATTGGTTGCCTTTTAGCTTTTAATGGTTGTTAAAACCATGTGAAAGTCATTTCGTCAGTGGAAAGGATGCAAAATTTGTCAGATGGTTTTTATCTAGCTAATAGCCACTATGGCTGAACCTTTCCTATTTCTTGGACAGTGTGCAATATGCTTCCTGTGTGTTAATCTCACTGAATCCCCCCAGTAGTCCTGGGAGAAAAGTACCATTGTTAACATGGTTTTCACAGATAAAACAATCAGAGGTCAAAGTCACAGCTGGTAAATGGCAGAGGCAGAGCTCAAGCAGCCTTGTCTGGATCCAGGCTTATCAGCCCTAAGCCTTATATTCTGCCAGCTGGGTACTTTGGATCAGGTTATTTTACTTGCTTTGGTCTGCTGTTCCCTCAGAGGGTGATACAGTTTGGGTGCGGCTCAAGTGTGTAAAGCTTTAGGTTAGTGTGTGCAGCCCAGAGTGTCCAGAGGCTTCTCTAGGATTTCCTTTCTTTCCCCTTGAGTTAACCTTTGAGCTTTTGCATTTAAATGATTTTTATCTTTATTGGAGGGAAAGGTGGTGAAGGCCTGTAATGGGCCCACAGTTTTGAAAAAGTAATAATTGGCACAGTTAGAAGACTGCCTGGGACTTGAGGTCCTTGCTCTCCTATAAAAATATGAAACATTTATGAACAGTTTAGCACCCCTGTGGCATAAATGAGCCACCATCCTCTTGGTTTTATGTGATAGGTTTACTTGATAGTAGGGTTCAAAGGGCGGACTGGTGGGTCTCCAAGTGCAAAGTAAGGTTAAAGACATAAAGGGTATCTCCTGGATTTCTAATCATAGCTCCCAGAGCCTGAGTGCCGTATACACTAGGTGGGGGACTTGATTGATAGCAAATGATCCCACCTTACAGTGCCTGCAACATTCTGTGGACATTAGAAATCTGTGCTTCTGAGTAGCACTGTGAGCTTAAAATATGTCAGCTGCTGAACTTCTTGGCCTGCTGAACTCCTCTGTGCCAGATCTCTGATTTGAAAACACTCAAATCTGGGATTCTAGAATCTGTGTCATGAGGAATGATTGTAGAATTTGCACAATCTCTGTAGTTTTTGTTCACTTCATGCAAGTAGGGATAATGGTATTGATTTTTCAGCCTGTTTTGCCTAGAGATTGTCAGTGTGAATCCATTTGGCACAGGTGTTGTCAGATGACCAAGTCCCATCTCTCTGTATTGCACCACCGATGCTTCAGGACCTTCCTTTTTCCTATGGACTGGGAATGGGATCCTGAGAAGGGGATGGAATGGCTTATTCACATGTGCTTTCATTTCTTCTTCAGAGGGGAAGGCAAAGACATTCAACAAAACCTTTACAACTGTAGAGATTTCTGTCTCCCTCTGCCCCCATTTCCACCCTCTGTAAAGTTATAAGGATGCCCTCTGTTTCCCTATTCTACTTCTTTTCTTCCCATATTCCCTATAATCATGCAGACAATAAAGGCTGGTCTTTGGGATGGCCAGAGAGTTTGGGCTACTTCCAGTCTTCTGATGTCTCCTTGTAAAAAAGGCTTTGCCTTGGATGGACAAGGTGTTATTTCCTTTGGATGAAATCCTCATCTTCTTTCTAGGTCTTCTTCATTTCCCATTCCTGAATAACAAAAACAGGAAAAAAAATCGGTTTATTGAATGTTCAGGTATAATTTACAGGATGAAAACAAGGTAAAAACATCCTTGATTTCTTTCTTTTCCTTATCCTCCACATCCTCAGCAGCAAATCCTTCTTCTCTACCTCCTCTACCTCCAGCTACTTCCTATCACCTCCACTAAACTTTTCTAATCTCTCATCAAAATTCTCCTAACTGATCTCTCTATCCCCTCATCCATTTTCAACATAGCAGCCAGAATGGTCTTTTAAAAATGTAATTCATACTCCAGAATTCCTTGGTCCAAATTTGCCAGTGACTTTCCATTATGTTAGAATGAAATCCAGAGTTCTTCTAGTGGCCCATAAGGACCAAAGAGAAGCAAACTCTGGCTCATGGACCAAATCTGGCTCACTACATATTTTTATATGACCCATCAACTAAGAATGGTATTCCGATTTTAATATTTCAAAAAAAAACTTTTCATGACTCCTGAAATTTATGTGATATTCAAAGTTGTGTCCATAAACACACACTCCTTTACACACTGTCTATGACTACTTTCCTGCTATGATGGCAGAGGTAGGTGGCTGTGAAAGAGACCGTGTGGTCCACAGAGCATCAAATATTTGCTGTCTGGCCCTTTCCCAAAAAAGTTTGCTGATGTCTAGTCTCGGTGGTCTGGCCTTGGGCTGGTTACTTCTCTTATCTCATGTCCTAATGCTCAGGTATTTGTTTTCAGGTCCACACTTTCTTATCTGCAATTCTGAAACCAGACAGCTCTGAGACCAGAATCTTTTTCAAGTGTTTTGGCACAGATTCAGTGGCCCTGGCCTGACCTGATAAGAGGTCATTTGAAGTCTGTTTATTTAATGTGCTGTGAATGTTTGTGTCTTGCTATAGAATTATCAACATGTTTGCTTACAGAGTACCTCCTGAGAACTTGGGGTTTTTCATTATACATAGTATATGCACCACATTACCTTTCTAAAATTCAGAAAGTTCTGGAACACAACTGGCCCCAAGTTTCAGAGGTAGGATTCCCCAGGTTTCACTCCAGTATCATGGAGTGAGCTATTGACTTGGAAGAGATGGATTTGCATCCCAGCTCTCTCAGTGATGCCCTGCATAACCCTGGGTAAGTGCCTTTACTCAGTTTCCTCACCTATTAAATGGGGCCTTTCTTGTCTCAACACATATTGTAGGTTCAGAAACCAAAGCTTGGCAGAATTATGTATTAAGAAAGAGTAAATAAGTTCCAAGGGAGATTTGAGGGTCTTGCTTTCTGAGCAAAGTTTGAGTTTTACTGCATGGATATACTGGCAATTCTCTGTCTTTCTCACTAGCTGATATTTTTTGTCCTTGGTGAGGTTCTATAGAAAGGAAGCTTCCGGGTCTCTGAATTTTGATTAGCCAAACTGTTGTGGTACCTTGGCTTTTTGTAGCACCCTTCCTTGATTGGAGTTTATGATGGATGGGCTCCTCTTCCGTAACTCAGAAACACAATTGACAGGGAGAGGTTGCTCTGGGGCATTGTTCTGGGGTTTATTTGCAGTTTCCTGTTGATGACAAGAGATAGTTACATTGGTGAGGTCTAGTACTCACACAGCCTGCCCTTGAAAGAGTGCAAGTAGAAGACATTGTGCAAACATGTCAGCATCAAACAGGGTAAGGGGTGCAAGACACCTGAGGGCCTTGGAATAAATTTATGATTAAATGACTAAAATTACTAAAGTTAAAATATCTGAATCTTCACTGTGCACCAGACATTGCATAAATTATAGTTCATTTAGCCTTTTCAGTTATATAAAGCAGGTACTTATGTTGTTACATTTTACTGATAAGGAAAATGAGAAGGGCAAGTCACTCCTCAAGGCCATAAAGCTGGTGAGTAAGACAGCTGGGTCCCACAGTCCTGTCTCTTAACCTCTCTCCTGCATTCCTTCACGTTTTTTACACTGCCTTTACTCCTTAAATTTTTCAGTTGATTGCTTAGTATCTTGCTGGATGTAGTTCCTTGAATGTGACATATCGATAGTTAAACCTGTAGGGAATTTAGAGAGGACTTTCTCCAAAGGCCATCACAAGGATCAAAAGTGGAGGGAAAAGCTCCATGGAATGTGAACATCAGGGCATGCTGGTGGGAGGAAGCATCTGGGATGAGGGAACCACTTCTACTCCTCCACCAGCCCTCTGTGATTCTCGGAAATTGTTTTGTCCCTGGCCTCTAAGCTTTTCTGTAAATGAGGTTGGAAATTACCCCATGAAGAAGAAGTGTAGGAGTAGAAGAAACAGCTCTGGCTTCTGAGTCATGAGGTGTGGCCTGACCTTGGATGGTAATAGGAATACTGTTTCCTTGTCTAAAAGCATGTATAAACATTTATTCATTTGACAAGCATTTATTGCACTTCTACTATTTTTCAGATATATATATTCACACACAAATTGTGGCTAAGTGCCATGAAGCAGAATAACAGATGGGACTGTTGGTAATTTAGACTAGTGGTTCCCAAACGGGGACAGTTTTGTCCTTCCTGGGGATGTTTGGCAATTTCTGGAGACATTTTTGGTTGTCATAACTGGACGTGGAGCTCCTGGCATTAGATGGGTAGAGGCTGGGGATGCTACTAAACATCCTACAATGCACATGACAGGCCCTATAAAAAATTACTAGTAGTCATGCTGGAGTTGAGACACTGATACAGACTGAGGTCACTGAAGTTCTCCCTGAAGAAACCCTTTCAACATGAGGGTTGCTGGGCGCATTAGAGACAACGGATGCAAAGCCCTGAGGATAGGGCCTGGTACACAGGGGGTCCCAGCCGGGGTCCTGTATCAGTGGCTAAAGCAAGTTTCTGGAGTCAGACTTCCTGGGTTTGGGATCCTGTCTCCCGTTTAGCTGAGTGACCTTGAGCATGTACTTAGACATCTGAACCTTAGTTTCCTTGTCTGTCAGATAGGGTGAATGCACATAATATTGCCTCACTGGACTGCTATGAAGATTGTGTGAAATCATATAGGTTAAGATGCTGCACTAGCCTATGGTAATTGATAAATAGAAGTTTGTTCTTATTCAATATAGTATATTATCAATAACCCCAAGGCCACTTCTAAGATTACATTCAGGATAAAAAGTCAAATAGTGGTGCTTCAGTGGAGAGAACACAGGCCAGAGAACTTGCTCCAAAGAGTCTCCTTCATGGGTGTGCCACTTGTGACGTGTTCCCTCTCAGGGTTTTAGCTTTCTCATTTGTAAATAAGGATAACTCCTAGCCCTCAAAGAATGATCATGAAAGCCTGCAGCATGTGAGGAGATTAAGGAGCAGCTCACCCCACTCTTGTTCTTGCTGTTGACGGAGAGCCCCAGGGCTGGGCCCCCTGCCAGGGACTGCTGCAAGCGCTCCTTCACAGTCACCAGCCGAAGCTCCAGGTCGATCCGGTGCTCCTCCTTTGCCCGACACTGAGCTTCCAGGGTGGCCAGAGCCTCTTCAAGAGCCTTTAACTTTGCCCCTGTGTCCAAAGACATCTATGAGAAATAGCTGAGCCTGGCCAGAAACATCAGGGAGTTTGGCAGCCCCGCAGACCGTGACCTGCCTTCCCAGAGGGCCTTTCTAGCCTTACTTCTGGTTAAGGGATGGACTTTGGACCGGCAGTTCTAGCTCCGTGCTGGGTTGTGTGGTTTTTTATCTGCCCACTGTCCGTTTCCCCATTCCCCTCTCATTCCCTATAGATTGAATGGGGTTGACCTCACTTCCAGTTCAGGAGATTGGCACATAACTTAGACCTGGCCCATAATTGTATCTCACTTTCTGGTCACAGTGGTTAGTTTAGGGACCAAAGCTGGTCCAATCAAAGTGAATCCTAAGGTGCTTAATGGGGCCCACTGGGAGGGGAAGCCTCTCTGCTGGAGTGGCTGCATGGACTGTGTGAGGGCTAGAGTTGTGAAGCCTTGATACCACCCTGAGGGACAGAGAAGAAACCAAAGTAGGGAAAGGCAGAAGCAAGAACTGGAGAAACATGCTTCCTGGTGACGTCGCTTAAGTCTCTGGACTTTGCTACACCTGATCACTTAAGTTTCCAGTCACATTTTCCTTTTCATTTCTAAGCCGGTGAGTTTTCTTACTTGTAACCAAGAATCAACGCAGGGCTTTACACTGATCACAGTCCTTGCTAGGATTTTGCTGCTTATTCAGTTTAAGCCAACAAACTTGTGTTAGGACTTTGTGTCAGGAGCTGTCTTGGATCTTAATAGGTTTAAAAATTAGTTCCATTGTTTGCCCTGAAAGAGGTTGCACTGGAGGGTTTTCTGATAATGGTGATTCTTTTTATTCATTCATTCATTCAGTAAATATTGAGTGCTTGTTCGGTACCAGGCAGTGTTCTATTAGTGAACAAAACGGGGAAAGATCTTTGCCCTTATTGAACTTATAATTGTGTGTTTATATGTATATGTGTGTGTGAGAGAAAACAATACAAATACAATAAGTAATCTGTTAAAAAGTTATATGCTATAGAAAAAAATTGAGCAGGACAAGTTGGACAGTCAAGTCAACCTGCTTCAAACTCTAGTTCTGACTCTTAGAAAGTTTTTCTTTATATTGAAACCAAACTGTCTTCATGTGCCTTCTTCCCATTGATTCTGGTTCCTAGCCACATAGAACAAGTCATTAAGCCAGAAGTTCTCAGTCTGAGGTTTGTGAATTCCTAGGCAATCTGTGGCTCTGGGTGCACTTGAGCTGCTGAAATTATTTGCAACATTGTGATTTGTGGGGGTTTTCTCCTTTAGGAAAGGGTCCATAGGTTCCATCAGATTCTCATGGGGCTATGTGACCTTAGACATATTTTATATAACCATAGGACCTCCAGTTCCCTGCAGCATGTTCAGAAACCTTATTCTGAAAGTGTGCTGAACTGCAGCTAAAGAGAGAATTCAACAGAAAAATGGCGGAAAGTGGGGCACAGAGGAGCCCAGGGTATGTAAGGCTTGCGGAGGTCATGGTCCTGGATTTCAGAAGGGGATACTGGTGAACTGTCACTGTCCATTATTCTCAGTACCTGAATCAATGTTTCACACATTTGGGTCCTTAGTACATAGCTGTGAATGCATGAGTTAATGTGAGGTTCAAAATGATATCTCTTCCTTGATTCTAAGGCACACTCTATTTTTCATGTTTTAAAATTTCTAAAATCAGATCTCCTTTTACCACATTAAGTATATACATTGTGTTACTTTTGCATCCCCTCACTCTAAAAGCAGTTACTCAGTCAATGGCACTTTCATTAGTCAGGAGACATGGTGATGACAGTGTTGGTGAGGAGAAGGAGGAAGGGGAGGAGAAGCCTACCTCTTCCTGGTAAGAAGCCAGGTGGCTAGTACCAGGGGAGGTGTCAAGGTTCAAATGTGAGCCCCTCATTGCTCAGGGCCACACCCCATAGATACCTGGGTTGTTCCGAATAGCTTCCTTTAGTTCCCTCTTTTCCTGCCGCAGTGCCATCAGCTCTGTCCGGATTGTCTCTTTCTCTTTCTCCAGCTTCTCTTTTTCTATCAGGTACCTCCTGGCATCCTCCTCAGCTCGGTTCTTACCGTACTTATATTGATGGGCACCTGCAGAGATGAGGCAGGAAAAGGTCCTCAATTCTGAGCTCTGGTGAGCATCCTTGGGTGGTGTTAGCTTCTCTCTCAGCCTCAATCTGTCCATAAAATGGAACTATTTAGGTCCATACCCCTAGATATATTTAGTGTGAAGGAGAGGAAACTAGGAGCCAAAGGGAGGCAATGGGATGAGGAGGAAGGGCTTTTTTTGTTGTTAGGTAGCTAAGTTGTGTCCAACTCTTTTGTGACCCCATGGACTGTAGCCTGCCAGCCTCCTCTGTCCATGGGATTTCCCAGGCAAGAATGCTGGAGTGGGTTGCCATTTCCTTCCCTTGGGGATCTTCCTGACCCAGAGTTGAACCCACATCTCCTGCACTGGCAGGCAGATTCTTTACCACTGAGCCACCAGGGAAAGCCCTACAAGGGCTTTAGGACAAGACAGATCAAGGTCTGTGTTTTCTTTTGCCCATTACTGGTTGTATGACATCAGACAAAGTGAATGTGGTGTTTTTGTGCCTTCCCCTAGCTTTAGTTTCCTCATTTGTCAATATGGATATCAATCAGATTTACCTCTTGGCATTGTGATAAGGTTTTAAACAGATAATTCATGAAAAGTGCTTGGTGTAGTACCTGGCAAATAGAACTTAGTAAATGTTAGATAATAATTTAAAATAGATTTTGTGATATATACACATTTTTGTTTTAAAAGGGCATTTTTATAGTTAATTTTCAGTGCATATAGGATAGACAGCTACATGTAACACAGATCTACAGAGAATTGAGACCTGGGGTTAAAGTCAGGCATTGCCTGTTTTATTACTGAGAAAAAGGAGAGGGGGGTGGAGAGAGACCTAGTATTCTACTATAGGCTTTACACTATGGTGGGCAGTAACAACAGATTATTATGGCAAAAATTTACTGACTGCTTACTATGTACTAGGTAATTTATCTGCATTTCTATTTAATCCTCACAAAAGTTACTATTATTTGCTCTGCTTTATTGTTGGGAAAACTGAGGCACAAGAGGTTAGGTCTCACTGCTAATGATGGGAGAACCCAGGTTTGAACTCATGTCTATATGATTCAAGGATCCATGCTATGAAATACTGCCAAGCTTGAGCAAGGCCATAGTCTAACCTCTTAGTGAAAGTTTTATTTATTTTTTTATGCTACAGTCAGTCACACATAGTCCTTTGTAAGTGGGTGTGGAGCAATTCCCACAGTTTGCTGGTAACTGGGGGGTCTTGTCTCTGCAGCTCTGTAGGGATTGCAGTGGTCACCCATGGCCTATTTAAAAATCAGTTTCTGCTTTAACTACTCTACAATTCAAACCTCATTATAAGTAAAGCTTGGAGGGCTGAGAAGAAGGTGCGTGGCTCCCTGTACTTCGCAGCTATACAGTAGCATCCCAAAGAAGTTGGCTTTCAGACTTTTGGAATTTATAAACTGGCAAAATATAAATAGGGATATCCTGATTCACTTTGCTGTACACCTGTAACTAACACCACATTGTAAATCAACTAAACTTCAATTGAAAAAATGTAAAAAAACATTCACAGAAAAAATAGGGATGCCAACAAAGGACTGTCAGCATTATACTGTTGACAATATAAAGACCTTAAAACTACCAATATTATTATTCCCACTGTTTAGCAGAATAATATTTTAACATCAGGAGTTGGACACAAATGTAGAATAGTCATTTATATTGAGTAGAATTAACTTTATGAAAAACTTCATGCATTGTGCTTATTTTTCTCATCTCATTGCAGATGAGTGAAAACTTCCTTATGGACCAAGCCAGCAAGTAGACTCACCTTTGGGAGCCACCATCTTGATCCACCTTGCAGTGTCAGCACCTCGGAGAGCGGCTTACCTCACATGCAACCCTGTAATGCTTGTGTGGTAAAGAAGCAAACTAGATTTTCATCCTGTGTAAGTAATGAGTTGATTTTCTTTTCTACTTTCAAGATTTTCCTCCTTGCTTTTGGCTTTAGCATTTTAGCATGATCTGTCTTTTAAAAATTATTTATTGGTTGTGCTGGGACTTTGTTGCTGCGTGCCTCTGGTTGTAGTGAGCAGGGGCTACTCCTCTTCGCAGTGCATGGGCTTCTCATTGCAGTGGCTTCTCTTGTTGTGCAGCACAGGTTCTAGGTGCATGGTGGCCTTCAGTATTTGCAGCGCAAGTGCTCGGTAGTGGTGGTGCATGGGCTTAGTTGCTGCATGGCCTGTGGAATCTTCCTGGACCAGGCACTGGATTGAATCCGTGTCCCCTGCATTAGCAGGAGGATTCTTATTCACTGAACCTCCAGGGAAGACCTCCAGGAAGTGTGATGTGTCTTTTGTGGATCTCTTTGCCTTTATCCTACTAGAACTTCACTGAATTTCCTCTGTGGTAAATTAATGATTTCAATAAATATGGCAACTTTTCTGCTATTATTTCTTTTAATATTTCTTATGCTTCTCTTTTTCTTCTCTCCTTCTAATACTCCCTTTATGTATATGTTAGTACTCTTAATAGTGTGTCTCACATTTCTCTGAGGCTCTGTTTATTTTTCTTTGTTCTGTTATTTTAAATGCATAATCTCTATTGATTTATCATGAGGTTTACTGGTTCTTTTGCCAGTTCAAATGTACTGTTGAGCCATTTGATAGAACAATGTCATCTTACTTGCTTTTTTTTTTTTTAAACCAACTAAAGCTCATACTTCATTAGGTTTACTTAGAATTTACCCAATGTCCTTTTCTGTTGCAGAGCTACCACATTACATTTAGTCATCATGTCTCCTCAGGTTCTTCTTGGCTGTGACATTTCTCAGACTTTTTTTCCTCCCAGTTTTATTGAGGTAATTGACATAGCACTGTATGTTTAAAGTATCGGCTTCCCTGGTGGTTCAGATGGTAAAGAATCTGCCTGCAATGCGGGAGACCTGGGTTCGATCCCTGGGTTGGGAAGATCCCTTGGAGGAGGGCATGGCAACCCACTCCAGTATTTTAGCCTGGAGAACCCCCTTGGACAGAGGAACCTGGTGGGCTACTGTCCATGGGGTCTCAAAGAGTTGGACATGACTGAGTGAGTAAGCACTGCACACTGTGTAAGTTTAAAGTATACTGCATGATGATTTGACCTACATAAATCATGAAATGATTACCACAACAAGTTTAGTGAACAGCCATTATCTTGTGTAGATACAAATTTAAAGAAGTAGAAAAAAAATTTTTACCTTGTGATGAGAACTCTTAGCATTTACTCTTTTCTCTTTCATATGTAACATAGAACGGTATTAATTATATTCATCATGTTGTACATTACATCTCTGCTACTGCTGCTGCTAAGTCACTTCAGTTGTGTCCGACTCTGTGCGACCCCATAGATGGCAGCCCACCAGGCTCCCCCGTCCCTGGGATTCTCCAGGCAAGAACACTGGAGTGGGTTACCATTGCCTTCTACAGTGCATGAAAGTGAAAAGTGAAAGTGAGGTCGCTCAGTCGTGTCTGACTCTTAGCGACCCCATGGACTGTAGCCTACCAGGCTCCTCCGTCCATGGGATTTTCCAGGCAAGAGTACTGGAATGGGGTGCCATTGCCTCCTCTGACATTACATCTCTAGTATTTATTTATCTTAGACCTGGGAGTTTATACCTTTGACTGTTCATCCAGTTCTTCTCCCCATACTCCCTGCCACTGGTAGCCACAATCTGATCTCTTTTTCTATAAGCTTGTTTGTTTTGAACTATTAATGTATTGAACCTACAGTATTATATATTAGTTCCTGGTATATAGCATAGTGATTTGATATTTCTATATATTTTAAAATGATCACCATGATAAGTCTAGTTACCAGCTGTCACCATGCAAAGTTAACATGTAATTGTTGACTATATTCCCTGAACTGTACATTTCATACCCATGGCTCATTTATTTATAACAGGAAATTTGTACCTCTTAATCTCCTTCACTGCTCTCCTCCCCCAGCCCCCTCCCCTCTGGCAATCCCCTATTGTTCTCTGTATCTATGACTTTGTTTCTGTTTGTTATGTTTGCTTGTTTTTTTCAGATTTCATGTATAAGTGAAATTATATGTATTTGCCTTTCTCTGTCTGACTTATTTTACTTAGCATGATACTGTTTAAGGCCATCTGTGTTGTTGCAAATGGCAGGACTTCACTCTTTTTAATGGCTGAGCAATATTCCACTGTATATATGTATGTCACATATTTATCCAATCTTTTTGTCTGTTTTTTAAAAAATTTTTACTGACATATAGTTGATTTAAAATATTGTGTTTCAGTTGTACAGCAAAGTGATTAATTATACATATACATATATTCATTTTTTTTAATCAGATTCTTTTCTCATATAGTTATCACAGAGTATTGAGTAGAGTTCCTTGTGCTATACAGTAGGAGGGTCCTTGTTGGTTTTCTATCCTCTCTATAGCTGTGTGTGTATGTTAATCTCAAACTCCTGATTTATCCTTCCCCCCCATATTTACCCTTTGGTTAACATACATTTGTTTTGATATCTGGAAGTCTCTTTCTGGTTTGCAAATAAGTTCATTTATATCATTTAAAGAAATAGATTCCACATATGAGTGATACCATATATTTGTCTTTCTCTGTCTGACTTCACTTAGTGTGATAATCTCTAGGTCCACCCATATTGCTGTAAATGGCATTATTTTGTTCTTTTTTATGGCTGAGTAATATTCCATTGCATTTATGTACCACATCTTTTTTAACCATTCCTCTGTCAATGGACATTTAGGTTGCTTCCATGTCTCTAGCTATTGTAAGTGGTGCTACAGTGAACATGTATCTTTTTAAAATTCACTGGGGTCCGTATATCTTTTCAAATTGTGTTTTTCTGGATATATGCCCAGGAGTGGGATTGCTGGATCATATGGTAGTTCTATTTGTAGATTTTTAAGGAGCCTCCATACTGTTCTCCATGGTGGTCATACTAATTTACATTCCCACCAACAGTGTAGGTGGATTCCTTTTTCTCCACAC